CGGGACCCGAGGGCATAGCGGTTTTGGAGCCACCCTTCTTCAAGGAGAGGGTGCCCTTAGCGTCCCAGTGCGGGAGTAGCGTGTCCGGGTCCACCTCGTCCCGGCTAATGATCTCGGTTAGCGGCTCGGTGCGGAACTCGCCGGACTCTAGCTCGCCGAGCTTGCTTCTTCTCGATGAACTCTTTAGCGGGAATGTGCTTATCCTCTAGCTCTCCGAACTTAGCGGAAAAGGCTTGCCGCATAGAGATATAGTCCGAGCTAAGGATGGGCTTAGCGATGTCTCGCACCTCGTGTGTAGCTTCAGCTTCTGCCTGCCGCTCCACTCGGGAGATAGCGGTTTTCCAAGCGACCACCATTCCCGCGGCTTGGGTGCGAAGCTTTAGCGACTCCGTGGGATCGATGCTAAAGGAGTCTTTTAGCATCTTCTTGAGGTCCGCCTCACATCAGTAGCGGCAGCCGTCGAATTTAGCGACGGTGTCAACACCGTTTTCATAGAGCTCTCCTTGGATATCGTCAGCTACCTTGTGCTGAGTTAGCAGAAAGCGTAGCTCGGAGGCGCCTTTGGCTAGCTTCTCAGCCAGCGCTTCGCCCATCTTCGGAAAACTAGCTCGGACAAAAGTTGAAAATTGTAGCTGCAATATAAGGTAGCTGTGAAGTGTGTGCGAGAGTGTGCTAGCACATGCTTCGAGAGAGCGGCTGGCTGGGGTTAGCGGTCGGGCGTCGGCAGTAAAGGGAAAAAGCCCGCCCCCGGCCCCAGCGCCTCCCTCCTGCTAGCGGGACGGTGCCTTCCTCCTGACCCGCCCCCCTCTGCTCTCACAGCCCCCTCTCTCTAGCGTCACTTCTGTCTGGCAAACGACATGTGACATGTAGCGTGCAGCAAGAAACAAGCAAGCAACACCTAGCATCTGCTGCAAATGCTCCTGGGCTAGCGGACGTAGCTGGCACAGTCGAGCCTTTTCATGCTAGCGTGGGTGCCGAGCTGTTCGTGGCTAGCAGGAGTCTGCTTGGCAGAAAGTAGCGACGACCCCACCTAGCGATGGTGCTTGCAACCATCGCACAGGTGGTCATCGTGCCCGTCTAGCTTCCACCACATCCGGCGGTTGCATGCACGATAGCGGCATGCAGGGCACAGGCATGCACACCTGAAGATAGCGTTGGCCTCGTCCCAGTGGCCAATAGCGGCAGCTCGCTTCTCTAGCTCCCGTTCGGGGCTGACCCCCCTAGCAAGCCACTGTCTCTGCCCAGTGGCTCTAGCGGTCCTCTCTTGCGCCTGCATGTAGAGCCTAGCGTTTTCCACCCTAGCTTCGAGCTCCTCTAGCAGCGACTCGCTGTTGAGGTATAGCGGGAGGTTATCGGTCAGCTCCTCCCGCTGAAGATAACGAGCTTCCGGAGCTTCCTCAGCGTGTCGGCAATCTCGTTTTGTTTAG